AGGGGAAAATTACAAAATAAAATAGGCGTTCAATTATTTTGGGATTATAATAACACTTTTATTATTCCCCCCCGCCGCTCCCCCCCCGCTTGCACGTCCCGACAAGCAATGTTGCCAACCAGAATGAGGTAAGCTCATTCAAGACTGCCTATGAACAGATTCATGCAAAAAAATGAAACTAGACCACCAACTTACACCATACACAAAAATAAACTCAAAATGGATAAAGGACTTAAACATAAGACGGGAAACCATAAAAATATTAAAGGAATCCACAGCAAAATCTCAGACATATGCGAAGCAATATCTTCACCAATACAGCACCCTAGGGCAATGGAAACAAAAGAGAAAAACAAATGGGACTACATCAAAATAAAAAGCTTTTGTACAGCAAAAGAAACCATCAATAAAACAGCAAGAAAGCCCACTGCATGGGAGAACATATTTGCCAATGTTATCACCGATAAGGGTTTAATCTCCAACATTTACAGGGAACTCGTACAACTTAATAAAAGGAAGATAACCCAATCAAAAAATGGGCAATGGACCTAAATAGATACTTTTTGAAGGAGGACATAGGGAAGGCCAAGAGACATGAAAACATGCTCAAAGTCACTAATCATCCGAGAGATGCAAATCAAAACGACAATGAGGTACCATCTCACACCTGTCAGACTGGCTATTGTCAACAAATCAGCAAATGACAAGTGCTGGCAAGGATTCGGAGAAAAAGGAACCCTCCTGCACTACTGGTGGGAATGCAAACTGGTGCAGCCACTGTGGAGAACAGTATGGAGTTTCCTCAAAAAACTAAAAATGGAACTCCCATTTGACCCAGTAATCCCACTTCTAGGAATATATCCCAAGAAGTTAGAAACACCAATCAGAAAGGATACATGCACCCGTATGTTCATAGCAGCACAATTTACCATAGCTAAGATTTGGAAACAGCCTAAGTGCCCATCAACAGATGAGTGGATTAGAAGACTGTGGTACATCTACACGATGGAATACTACACTGCAGTAAAAAAGAAGGCATTCTTACCATTTGCAACAGCATGGATGGAACTGGAGAGCATTATACTAAGTGAAATAAGCCAGTCAGAGAAAGAGAAATATCACATGATCTCATTTGTGGAATATAATGAACAACATAAACTGATGAACAAAAACAGATCCAGAGACAGAGAAGCATCAATCAGACCATCAAACCTCAGAAGGAAGGTAGGGGAGGGTGGGGGAAAGGGAGAGAGATCAACCAAAGGACTTGTATGCATGCATATAAGCCTAACCAATGGACACACACACTAGGGGTGTGAGGGCATGAGTTGGGGGTGGGGAGGCAATGGGGGATAAGGACACATATGTAATACCTTAATAAAGAAAGAAAAAAAGACTGCCTATGACTTTAAAATTTTATTTTAATCTTCACCTGAGGGTGTGGTGTTTGTTTTTGTTTGTTTTTTTGTGGTGGTGTATTTTTTTTTTTTTTTAGAGAGGAAGGGGGAGAGAGACATTGATGTGAGAAACATCGATCAGTTGCCTCCTGTATGTGACCTGACCAGGTATCAAACCTCCTGCCTTTTGGTGTACAGGACAATACTCCAACCAACTGAACCACCTGGTTGGGACAAGACTGCCTATGATTTTTATAGGGGCAGTTCATGTAGGCACCCTCTGCCTGGCATATACCAAAATCCCGGGCTCTCAGAAGGTAAGCATGCATTCTGCATAAATTATATATATATATATGTTTTGTACAAACAAGTTTAGGCATAGTGAGGCACTTAAATCATTTGGGGGAATTGTAGAAATATTCCCGAAATCTAAGTTCTCAGATATCTGAGAACAGGCCAACCTTGTAAGCCAACCTTTCAAAGAAAGGCAGTCACCTGCTATGTTAACTTCTGTACAACTATATACCTTGATGCAAAGAAATGGCTGATAGAAAGTGTTGAGTTGCCCTGAAGCTCAAAAAGGTCTATCCCTGTGTAGAAGCCCCCATGCCTAGAAGTAGAAACACAGAAGGAAAAAAAATTTAGATGTAGACTTTAAAAGGAAAAAAGATAAAGTGATATTCATATGCATATGTAAAAAACTGGAGGAACAGATTCTTGTGTTTCCAAGAAAAATTCCCATAGCCAACAGTTACATAGCACTTACTAATCTCAACTTTTTGAGTGTAGGTACATTTCTCTTTAGTTTATGGATGGGGAAGCATCTCGGGCTCTGTTTACTAGATAATGCCAGTAGCACCCATCACCCCCACCCCCAGTTGTGATAAATATGTCTTCAGACATGGGACATGGCCAAATGATGTCTGGGGCAAGATTGCCACTAGTTGAGAACCACTAATCTCTGCTCTCAGTCACAAAAGCAAGATCAAGCCCTAGCTGGTTTGGCTCAGTGGAGAGAGTGTCGGCCTACAGATCAAAGGGTCCCGGATTCCATTACAATCAAGGGCACCTACCTCGGTTGCAGGCTCTTCCCCAGCCCGGGCCCTGGTCTGGGATTGTGAGGAAGCCAACCAATCAATGTGTTTCTCTCACATCGATGTTTCTCTCTGTTCCACACTCTCTAAAAATCAATGGAAAAATATCCTCAGGTGAGGATCAAAAACAAAAAAACGAAAACAAAAGCAAGATCAAGTAGGGACTGAAGACTAATTATGGATATCTGTGTCTTTATGAGCACACATCTGAGGACTTCGTGGCTTGCCTTGTAGGGAGAATGTAAACAGGGTGCCTGAGTCTGCCTTAGGTGTGGGAGGCTGCCAAACGAAATATTTTACCTTGTCTTTGTTAAGGGAGCATCTCACAGTTGAGGCAGTGGTAGTGGAAGAGAAGGACTTTGCAACCAAAGATAAAACATCTTTCCCTTGGAAGATGTGAGATAAATGATTAAATGAAAACATGGCTGTTTTACTCTCATGACCAGGCTACCAACTTGGCATCACTGACACGTGTGGGATAGTTTCCTTTCAAATCGTTATTGTGTGAGCCAGTCCTTTCAAACCTTGAAAATTCCCTTTCAGTCTTCTTTGCAAGTGAGCATCTTTCCTAAATGCTCTTGTTTCTGAGTTTCCCATTGACACCATTCCCTGGGGCCCACTGAGCCAAACCGGCCAGAGATTTATTTTTATTTATTTTTTTACCTAAGTGATGCCTCTCTCCACGAAGCCCTTGGTCTCCTGGTGAAGACAACTCTTATGAGTGGGGCTTTGCTTTCTGTGCATTAGCCACTTCCTCACGCCACTCGTTCTCTGTGTAGTTCCTCCACAACATCAGAGGCAGCCTCTCCTACGTCCTCCAAGATTTCATGAACTAGCCATCTCCCCTGTCATTGCATTTCCAGGTACCGGCTTCCCTGTGACTCCCAGGCCCAGGCACCGTGTCTGCCACCCCTCAACAGGCCATCAAAGCTCCCAAACTTCCACCCTCGGCCATTCCCTTGTTTTCCCTGTTGCTGTGGTTTCGCTGTCACCCAGGCCCTGCAGAAGGGACACACACCTTTGTGATGTGTGTTCCATTGCGATCAGTATGGGTGGATGGG